TACAGACATACCCCCCATTACAGACACCCCCCATTACAGACAGCCCCCCATTACAGACAGGGCACCATTACAGACGTCAACAACCGCGCACAAAAGGCTTCAGATTCTATACAGTATTCTAATGCATTTATAATTATTTGAAACAATAGTATGTTTTAGTTTACAATTAATGCAGTAGAATAACAAATTGAAAGGATATACGTGAGTTCCACATTTCAGCTCCAAAGGAGCTGCGCTGACAAGCTTTTTTATACAATTTTTGCGGACGCTTACGAACATAGGAATCAACAGACAAGATAACGATAACAAACAGAGAAAGAATGCCAAGGAAGCGAAAACGAACAGAACGAAAATCGAAATCGAGGCAGTAACGACGAGATCGGCGTGCATTGCTGTGCTTCCTTCGTTTATTCTTCCGATACCGTATATCTTGACACCGAAGACGCCGTGCCTGGGGAAGGAATCGAACCTTCTGATGTCTGACTGATAATCAGATGCATAGAACCACTACACCATCCCCGGCTATTTTATTTGTCTCTCAGAAGCAGCTTGTTACTTTTTCTTCTCCAAATTTCCTAGAGAAAGATAAAGTAAATTATAGGATATCGAAATAAATTCTTGATTTCATTGTTGAATAATAAGTAAGTATGGATTTTTAAGTTAGTATTAGATGTTTTCTTTTCTACCAGCTTTTAGTAATCGACATTGATCTTTATGTAACTATGATTAAACTGAACATGAAGAATTGAAAAATAATGAGAACATCGAGCTTTAGAAATCTTCAGGAATTTGGCTGAATTCCTATGTAGTGATGTGAAACATAGTAAGGATCTCATGAAATCATGAGATTTTAAACATTACATTGGAGTGAATTGTAGACGCCTTAAATAGTTGTCTAAAAGAAATTAGAAAAACAAAGTTTTATATTGTCATGGCCTCTAATTCGACGACAATAACATTAAGCACTGATGCTTGTCAAGTATTAAAAAACAAAAGAAAGTAGTCAACGAATCTATGAAATGAATGCTCTTTTATGGATCCTACAACATACCATTCATCATTTACTATTTACAAATTTTAAAGGTTTGCATTGAATTTACTTTTTGAGTTCTTGAAACAGCAAAAATAGGTCGGTTGGTTCAAGTTTGAAGTAGTTATACAATTAAAGTCTTTTGTTTAGATCTTTTGATTTTCCTATTATGTGTAGATTAGACATGAGCAGGACCAGCGTTTTTTGGTTCCGGACTTATCTCAGTCCCAGTCGTGGTTTCAGTAGGTACGGGAGAAACCAGTCTTTTTTGGTCCTGGTCCGTCCCGATTTCGGCGGGACCGGGACCATCATGCCCATGTCTAGTGTAGATAGCATTCGAAATATATTATATTAGGAAAACTATTTTGTAGATAATTTTGTGCGACAGAAACAATATATGGCATCACAGGTAGACAACCGATACTTTGGCATTGAGCACGAACCAACCAAAATGCTCTTGCCAATAGAAGGCTGCGGACAGATACCTCTTGTACCGTTGAAAACGGCGATTGAACCAGTTGTTTCAGTTGTTTCAAAAATTAAGGCTTATGCATGGGTTGCTAAATTTAATTGTCAAAATCCTCAAGAAGGTTTAACATCGGATGAATCAGCGGCAATAATGCTGTATTCAATGGAATCTTCAGGTGAAACTGTTTATGGTATCCTAAATTCGATTCTTCGTTCTGAGGAACCTGAGAGAAGCAATCGACTTATACCATGGCATTCTTATCTTAAACTGTTCATTACTGCTCTTTCTCGTCTTCCTTCACATCAACTAACTGTTTATCGAGGTGTAAAACTCAACCTCAGTGAACGTTATCCTAAAGGAAAGCATTTCGTGTGGTGGGCTTTTTCGTCTTGTACAAAATCATTAAATGTACTCGAATCCTCGCAGTTTCTAGGTCAAACTGGTACACGTACTCTGTTTGTTATTGAATGCTTCACAGGAAAATGTATCCGTAATCATTCGTACTTTCCTACTGAAGATGAAGTTTTACTGATTGCTGCTCGTCACTTTGAAGTAATGTCTTCTTTGCAACAGGGATCTGATTTGTGGATTATTCACGTAAAAGAGATCCAGCCTGAATTTCCTCATTTGGTAACAGATGATAGTATATCTTCGAATTTTGAAGCTCTCAAAAACTCTGATGCAAAAGCTTCGGAAGCTGCAATATGTAAATCATCAGAAATTAATGATACCGAAACGAATATGAATTCGCCAGTCAATGCATCATTGTTTGTCAATAACGAAAACCAAAAAGAAAGCACAATTCACATGCATATGAAAGATTTAAACACAGACAATGATTCGCCAATAGTCGTGGAAGCTACATATAAAATCGATCAAAACCGATGTGTTCAATGCAGCAAAAGCGTTTTAACTGAGAAAAGTGATCATCATTTATCAATGACTAAAGAAGTCGAACCAAGGAGTATATCTCGATTAAAAAACAATGACTGTATACTGGCGGCTGTAGTAGTCACAGAAAATTCAGAAACCATAAATGATTTAACAGATGATTTTATTATAGTCAACAAAGAAAGTGACCGTACTATGATGTATCTGAAAGATAAATCAATCACAATGGATGACATCCATATTTTGGCTGAAAATGTCAACAGAAACCCTATTCTCAGCACACTTTACTTGTGCAACAATGAGCTCGGAGACCATGGATTGTATCTGATCATCGAAGTATTACGCACTTGTACTTCCTTGAACGTACTGTATATTAGTCAGAACGGTCTAACAGATGTCGGTGCTGCACATATAGCAGATGTTCTAGCTAGCAAGACTCATACATTTACTCAATTATTCTTACCTAACAATGAAATAACTAGTCGAGGTGCCGCCAAGATCATTGCTCAATCACTTTTACAATCTAAATCAACATTGCGAATATTAGATCTTTCAAGAAATCCATTAATTAAAGATGACTGTATCGATGAAATCGGTCGACTTATTATGACTAGTAGCTCACTAAAAATTCTCCATCTGTGCAACTGTAGTCTCTCACAAGATGGAAAAGAAAAACTAAAAAACCTAATTGCAGAGCGAGAAGTTTTCAATCTTGAATTGTAATATTCATTTCATTTGAAACTGCATAATATTTTTTCAGAACTGATTAATAGTTGTTTTGCACCAATAGATTCTTGAGTTCACCTTCTGATAACAAAAAACAGCAAAGTGTTTTGCTGAAGCTCCTATGCGATAGTGGTGTGGGTGTCGGGTGTGGGGTGTGGGTGTGGGTGTGGTGTGTGGGGGTGTGGGTGGGGTGTGGGTGTTGGTGTGGGGTGTGGGTGTGCGTGTTGGTGGGTGTGGGGTGTGAGTGTGGTGTTTGGGTGGTGTGGGTGTGGATGTGTGGGTGGTGTGGGTGTGTTGGGTGTGTGTGTGGCTGGTATGGGGTGTGGTTTATATCGTTCTTTGAATTCGTTGCTACACCCACACCCACACACCCACATCCACACCCTCTTTCATTATGATTAAACAATAAAAATAATAATCAACAAGTTATTGTATCATCAAAAATTTTTTTAAATCAACGTAATCTATCATTTTGGCAAATAATTTTTAAATTAAATCAATCATTTAATACTGATTTTAATTTAAATACAATTAATAATCATAATAATGAAATTGATTTTCAATTATCACCATTAATGACATTATTACATATTGTTTATTCATCCAATAATCAATAAAAATAAACAATTAATTGATAAATTATTTAAACTTCTTTCATTAATATCAGAACATTTTCATATAGATACTTTTACAAAAAAAAAATATTTCATTATTACAATTGACTAAATGTCAACAAGAAATATAATAAAATTATTTTAAATATTCAATTAGATTTAATTATTAAAATATTAATATCAAAATCACGTATTGAATATGGTCTCGAATTTACAATTAAATTTTTATTAAATATATCAAAAATAAATCAAAATTTAAGAGATAAAATTTTACATTTATTAATCAATGGTATTTGTTTATTAAGCAAAGATCTTACTGAAGAAATTAAGTAAGTTTATTTTAAACATTAATAGAATATTTTTCTGAGAAAAATTTGATCCAATCAGTATAGTAGATATTAGAGATCGACATAGATCAATTTTTTCATCGTCCAACTCAAGTCGAACATCGGTAGATATTTATGTAATTATTATTTCCATAGAACTCAAACTAAAATAATTAAGTCTTTATTATGTTTGTACAAAACTCATTAATCTAATCTCTTTCTTGATCTTTTCCTTAATCTATAAAATGATGCATAGAAAAATTCTTTTCATAAAACTAATCTTAAATCTATTATAAAAAAAAAGAACAAGAAAAAGATGAAAACAAAATAAAGAGATTACACTATCGCGTAATTAGAATGTCTTCGGAAAAAGTTTGAACCTTTCTAAATCATTTTCATCAAGACCATTTGGATCTTCAGATACAACGAACTCTTTATTTTCTTTTCTCACATTGAAATCTATGAGCATTTCTTTGCATTATTTCGTTCCATATAGATAGAGAATATTCATTGAGTGAAAACGCTCACTGTGAACCAATGAGAAAAACATGTCTTTCCAATAAGAGCATCAATAGACACGTTTAAGCGATGTACAGTAGAAATGACTAGGATTAGAACGTTGTCAAAAATTACTGAAGAGAAGATAAAGTGTCGCTATCGGAATGAACAACAGAAAGACCAAGATAGAAAAAAAGGACTCGCCGCAATATTACTGAAGAAGTACCAACAAATTTAATCGAATTGAACATTGTAGTGTGCTGACGAATCCGAATGCGTGTCTTACCGATAATATTTCAGTCATTCGATAATTTAGATAGTTTATTGCTCGTGTTGGGAACATAGCTTTGGTTTTTTCAGAATTAACTTGTTGCACACTCAATACCGAATATAATTCAGAATGGTCAAAAAAATTACCTAAAGCTGACGTTCTAAATTCATACATTGTTCGGTATAACGAATACTCGTTTGTCTTGCCAACACTGCCACAAGTTTTTTTTAGCGAAAACGAACAACATAACTATCGGCTGAAAGTCTACGATTGGTGAGCTATTAGACATAGACGAGGAAATTTGCTCAATCAGCATAGGCACTCTCGTTTGTAGATGATGTTTCGCACAAAAGTCAGCTTGGTAGTCTAACAAAGTGCTTTGATCTCTCAACACTTGTAAAAAGAGTCTTTCCTATACTTTAAGAAACGAAATCAGCAACCCATATTGGCCGCATTGGTTGGGCGGGCAAATCATGTTTTGTTTTACCACAAGAATCATCCGAGCATCTTTGAATTTTTCTAGGCTAGAAACAAGTAGCCAATGAATAGTTGTATAGTCGAACAAAAATATGCCAATAATTACGAGGTATCTGTTCCTACATAAAAAGTGACAAGTTGTAAATGTCGCATGATCGCTTAATTCTTTCGTTTCATTAATGATTTGATAACTTCTGGGATTAAAAAGTTTGCATTATATTTCATTGCACAGATGGCGAAATAATGTACGAACAACCAAAGTATCTTATATCTATTATTTAGACAATTACATTGGAAAGCTGAAGATTATCTATCCAAAAATAGATCAAACGTTGATCTACACTTTCATTAATGAATACTGATCCAAATATCAAACAACAAGAGTTACAATTCCTATCTATCATTATGTTAACATCTAAAAATGGTAATCAACAATTTTTATTACGTATTCTTAAAGTAATAATTCAATTATATGAAGCAATAGAAAAATAACAAGTTAATGCTCAAATACATTTTGATAATGAACTTCAAAAATTAACACTCCCTCTTGATACATTACGTTTATGTTTTCAAACAGATAATAATAATCAACAAAGTGATATTCTTCGATTAATAGATGAATTAATTTATCATTTTGAACAAATGCATACACAATTATGAACAGCATTAAATTCTAATACCATTGAAGAATGTCAACATGAAACAATTAATAAAATTTAAATTATTTCTCGTTTAATTCAACAAATTGAATTATCTATTGAAAAATATTTATGAATCATCATTATCAACAACAATGATAACACGAATTAATGATATTTTACAAATAATATCAAAATTAATTCCTAAAATAAATCAATCAATAGATCTTGAACATTTTTTACCAATACAACAAATAAAATTAAGTCATTCATTATCAATATAAATCAATTATGAACTTCATTAAATGATTGTTTATTATCATTAGCTAAATTACCAAATTCACATACTGTTTTAATTCTTCAATCAACTGTTGAAGCATTTTTTCTTGTGCATGCTATTGATTTCGATAATGAAAATAATAAGAAAACAAATCATGAAACACATAAAGTTTTATCACATTTAGAATGTTTTGATCAAGCAGCAGCAACAATAACATCAACTGTTCGTGATGTACTTGATAAATCAATTCTTTTATGCACAGATGTTTCACAAACAATATCAACGAATGAAATATCATTAGATAAACAATAAATTATTGAATTTTTTTCATAAACATCACTTTGTATTAAATCAAATACTACGTCAAAACATACACTATTTAAATGAAAAACAATTTCATATATTAATTGATTATATATCAATATTTGATTTTGATATTAAAAGAAAATATTTTGATTATAAACTTGATTATTGAAAAGAGAATATATCTGATAAAAGTTTAATTATACATGTTAGACGTAATTATGTTTTTGAACCTTCATATAAAGAATTAAGTCAAGATTCATTAGAAGATTAGAAACATAGATTTTACATTGTATTTGATTATGTAGAAAGACAAGATGCTAATGACTCTTTAAATGAATGGTATTCTATAATGGGACATTCAATATTTGATCCAAATTATGCTTTATTTATGAAAAATATAAATGATAATATTACATATAGGCCAAATCATTTAGAATATTTTAAATTTATTGGACATATTATAGGCAAAGCTATATATGATAATAAATATATGAATTGTTATTTTACACGTCCATTTTATAAATATATACTTGATATGCTTATAAACATTATACAGATATGGAATTAATTGATTTAGAATTTTATAAAAATTTAGTTATATTATTAGAAAATTATATAGAAAAATTATATCTAGATTTAACATTTTCATTAAATATTAATGAATTTGATGTTAACAAAATGATTGAATTAATACCAAATGATTCAAATATTAGAGTTACAAATAAAAATAAATATGAATATATACGATTAATTTGCCAAGAAAAAATAACTCGATCTATTAA